GTGTGCGTGCTTGCGTGCGTGCGTGCGTGCGTGCGTGCGTGCGTGCGTGCGTGCGTGCGTGCGTGCGTGCGTGCGTGCGTGCGTGCGTGCGTGCGTGCGTGCGTGTGTGTGTGTGTGTGTGGGTGCGTGTGTGTGTGGGTGCGTGTGTGTGTGCGTATGTGCAGTATGCCAAGTTATCATCACTTGATTGAGCTGCAGCAAAGGGGAGATACACGTTCAGGTTGGTGTAGTGATGCGATATCTTGGCCAGTTCCCCAGCGAGCCTAGCCCTCAGTCATTTGAAGACATTTTGCTTCACACTCCACATGTCAACATGTATATCAACAGATCGGCAGGTCGGACTTGAAAGAGACGATAATTCCCGAATTGCTTGAGGAAGATCCATCGCTGAGCCTTAGCATCTTGTGCCTTCCATGGATCCCCTGTCAGCATGTTAAATCAGTTGTGGATATCTCTGCGCTCCTTGTTGCTGTAAAGAGATCTGCGTGCTGAGGCGAGATGGGTTGGTGTCATTTGAAGCTTTCGAGCGGTTGATGCTGAGGCACTGCTTGCTAAACACAAATATTCAAGCGTCTTCTGAACTACCATTCATGGCTATTCTGCAAAGACTATCCTGCCACTGTGCCAGGTATCTGAGTGATCACACATATGATCCAGATGATTCAGAAACCTTGTTAGCGGCGTTCAGGGTCGTGCTCTGAGAGTCCAGAAGGAATGGCGCATGATATTGCTGCGTGCATTTTGTGAACAATGTGACTGTGGGCTTCGGGCCGGTTCTGAGTATTTTGGCATAAAGCGGGTCATGGAGTAGAGTGAGTAGAGTATACAATCCTGAATCTCGAGGTCTTGGACCCGCAAGGGCATGGTTACATTGATTCGAACTTGATGCACGAATGGCTGTCCACAAAAGGTGGCAAGGCCAAGGATGCTAAGATGCCACTGCGCCTGCGTGCTACACGTGCACATGTACTTGTTAACCTTGATTGGATCACGTGTGCCATTCGATGTGTCTGGATAAGCTGAACGAGAGGCAGCAGATTTCTTCAAAGAGCGCGAGACATCTGACTTCCTGGAGTGCCCTCCGCTATCCTTTCAAGCTGGCGTAGCACTGCGTTCCGGGTTTCCTAAGTCGTAACGAACATTGGCTTAACAACTGAAAGTCACGGTCTCGGCATCATCGCATGCACATCGCGCTGTGTACGGATTTTGTACACGTCTCGTTTTGGAAGAAGCGTGCTGCTGCTACCGTGGTGGTGGCTGTGCGTTGGTCCCTGCATTCATCCTGTCTTCGTGGAGCCCCCCAACCCTTAAAAGCCTTCGCTGCGCCGTTACGCATTCGGAGAAGAGGGCCGCCCAACGTTAGGACAAACTCATCTCCCCGCTGTACAGGACACTCCAGCTGAGGTTTCAACACGGTTGCTGGTCATGCCCATGAGCGGCTTCAAAGCATTTCAAAGCATTGACGGCACACCACTCAGAGCATGAATCGGTGACGGGTCTCGTTATTGATTGAACCGACAGCAAGCACAAGGTCACGAAGACCACCTCAAAAGAGCACATGCGGCTAAATGGGATTTGTATTTGCTGTCATTCAGTGTGTTTCTGGAAGATTGACATGGCAGTTGGCATTGAGTCTTCTGCAGGTATGCCAAAGATAAAGAAAGTTCTGACTCCAGCCGGATTTACTACGAGGACATGCGGTATTCAGTTCAGTTTGTCGAGCAGCTCTGCAAGTAGAATAATGTCACAGTGCCTAAGTCTTTTGAACTTGTGACGGAGCAGACTTTGCCAAAGGATTGTTGTCGTTGCTGTTGTCTTAAATCTCGTCGTTGTGGTGGTTGTGGTTGTTGGTTGTTGTTGGTACGGGCGCGTATCGGATCGACGTCTCGAATTCACTGCGCCTGCCAGTGCTTTGGTTCCTTCTGCCTTCATCGTGCTCGAAGTCTTCAAATCGCCATCGACATACCTTTCACGACGGCGAGAAGCTTGTTGTTTTTCTTGTTGTCGTCTTGTTGTGATTATTGTTGTTCTTCTTTTTTGTTCTTGTTGTTGTTCTTGTTGTTCTTCTTGTTGTTCTTCTTCTTGTTCTTGTTCTTTCTTCTTGTTGTTCTTCTTGTTGTTGTTCCTGTTGCTCCTGCTCTTCTTGTAATTCAAAGGTTTTTCGAATCTTGAACAAACCGCCGTGTCAGTAGGTTTTTTCTTCAACACTTGCGATCCAAGTGGCTTTTGCGCAGTGTGTTTGGCATTGTCTATTCGCAAATCGTGTTATTTTCAAGCTTCCTTTTTGCCCCCAAACCACGGTCCGTTATGCGACGACTCCTATCAACAACAACCACAATCACAGCAACAGCAACAGAACAAAGAGACGAGAAAGAGAACAACAAAAGGACCGGATGGCGGCTCGCCTGCCCCATGCAAGAACGGTGACGCAGGCGTGTTCATGCCGTTTGCAAACCTTCCCGGAATACTGCTATTTGCAGCGTTTTTGCTTCTTTCTACAACATAGAAGGCCGCGGCCACAAATCATGTAGCCGACAAAACCAAGAATACCACCGCCGGTTCTAAAACGCAGTATTGGTTTAGCCAGACGCAGAAAACACATGCAAGCTAGCGCACATGTTGCCTGAAGTAACCATATATGCCTACACTAGCAAGCCCTCTGCAATATCACTGTGTACCGGATCTTCTGCGCTTGCCCATGAATTTGGTAGGTCGTGATGCTATTTACAAACCTTCGGCAAGCTCAAGATGTACGATTCCAGCCCAGATCTGAACACTCGCATCAAAAATTCGTCGCAAACGACCTCAGTCAATGTTTTTTGAGGTTCTTGGCAAACGTGGTGGACGCAGCCTGAATTTTAGCTTGATCTGGCCCAAACCCAGGTTCTCGGCTCGAGAAAGGAGGCCCAAACCCAGGTTTTCGGCCCGAGAAAGGGGGCTTGGGCCAGAAGAGGCTGAACTTAGCTTCATCTGGCCCAAAACGCGGGTTAGGGCCAGAAGAGGCTGAACTTGGCTTCATCTTGGCCAAAAGCCAGGTTTTCGGTTTCAGCTGGGGTACGGAGGTTTGTTTAGTGCGCAAGCAATGAGCCCCAGTCATGCAATCAGCAAGGGTGAACAGAAGAGAGGTTTCAGGGTGTGGTTCAGCCCGCTTGCAGCCCGCTGGCCTCTCGGAAGCCCGAACCTCGCCCCCAGTTTCAGGAGAAGCTGTCAATGTCGAGCCTGAAGGGGGTTTTGCGGGCCGGGTGAACGTCAGTGTCGTGTAGATTGTGCATGAGGTCGGGCGCTCGCGCGCGTGGGTGCGTGTGGTGTATGTGTTTGGGGAGACGGCGTGGGAGTTGGGTTTGGGGGCGTGGTGTGGGAGGTGGGATGGCGTCAGCGGGAAAGCAAACAGAAACAAGAACCCCACATAGTAGTGATGGGGGGAAAACATATATGGCTGCGTATTCTTGAATCCGAAGACAAGCAAAGCGGAAGCATGGGAAAGACAGTTCTCCATTGAGAGGATTACGTCGCCAAACTGAATGCAGACATCGAGAAGCACTTAGAGAATCTGTATCAGGCTCCTTGCCAAGTCGTAGTTGATTCCTTTGACTTTGCTCAGCAGCATCTGCTGTGACAGCTTCCTTGTGTTGAGAAACGGGAAGTTAAGGTGGCTCGTGGTTCTGGTCGCGACGCCCCAAGTACGCATGCCAAACTGTGAGTTGCAAAAGCGTGCTGTGCTGCAAGAGTGAACTTGTCAGGTCAGTGACGCAGCTCAGTTGTGCTTCTGGTTTCATTAAGCAACCTAGGCGTGCATCGTTGTTTTGCCATGGCCGGAGTTGTACAGAGGATGCAAGGCTGGCCAGAATTGGCTTCAAGGAAGGGCAGTGCGGCCACAAACGTGGCGGAAGCACGTGTCATGAATTTGATGTGACTCGCAATTAAGCGCCGAAACAAGAGTGTCGGTGCTTGCCAAATGCAAGTGTGTGCTCGTGATGTGTATTCGTTGGTCCCTTCCATACATTTGTGTCAGGAGCTCGTGAACAAGGTTTTCAAGATGCAGACTGAGATGTATGGAGTTTGATTCGTCGGCGCACTGCTGCTGAAGCTGTACATAGTAGATGCTTGTGGATGAGTTTCGAAGCGGTAATGGGATAGAACAAGGCTTCGTGCAAACAGGCAGTCGATGCGGTCCGGTTTCGACAGTGCCTGGCACAACAACGAACGTGCAAACCTGCTGTGCTCTCTATTTTGGCTGTTCCAGTCGACTGTAGGAGGTCACCATTGCTTGTGCACATACACGGGTAGCGCTCGGACCACTCCCCGCAGACCGCAGGGCCATAGTGATTTGGTGAATCTAAACGCCATCAGCCTAGAGTGCCTCAAGTACCTGGCGTGGTACAAAAGACTGCCAAGCGGTATACCTTTCGATCCTTGCGAGAGGAGCATGGCCGTCGCCTGACTCAAGTCCTGTTTTTTGCATGGACTGTCATGCAGGAAATGCACTCGAAGGAAAGCTCTGCCCACCCACACATTTCAAGGAGATGCCCAGCACGTCCGGGTCGTGGCAAGGCGAATGCTTACATGTTGTTGCTTGAGAAGACCTGCTGTTGGTCGCACTTCAATCATGAGACATCCTGGAGCAAAGTGCCAGGCCCAGCAGTGGAGAAGGGTGCCCGCATGGCTCTTGTCCGAGCCGGGGCTGGGGGTGGTCGTGTCCGTTCCTCAACTTGAGTGAAGCGACAGTGATGCTAACAGAGGCGAAGTTGGCTAAAGCCTCCGAGCGTTTGGTCAGTTGCTCTGCAGCTGACATTCTGAAACAGGACGTTTGCCTTGCCTAAGCTTCGAGTAGCGAATGCAGACGGCGGGGCTGAGCACCGCAACTGTTGCAGGAATGATTGAGACAGTCAGTCTAGCGTGCAGAGAGGGCGGCCAGGACTTCGACGCGGTTTTTGGTACCGCTTTGCCTGGCAACGACATGCACAGCTTGCCACAGGACAGCTGGTTTCAGAGTAATTTTGCACGGGGAAGCAGGTGCTTGTGCAATGCACTTGTGATCACAGTTTGGCAGCACTGAGATGAAAACATGGATGGCGTCAACATTTGCAGATCGTGCTCACAGAGCTCAGGCAGAGGTCGCTTGACGGGTTGCGCATGCCATGTGAAATTGGTCAGAGCCTTGCAAAGTGCGAAGGAATTATTTTGTTTCATGCTGCAGCCCGTGCAGGCCATCAGCGATCAGCAGATAGCTGAGTTCATCTCACGCTTGGAGGTGCAGTTTCAGGACGCGGTTCTGACATGTTCTGAAGCATTCCATGTGCTCGGGCGATGTCGATGGTCAGCATCTTGTGCGAGGACTCGGCGCCTCACGCCAGCGCCTCACAAGCATGGTTGCAAGCATAGACCAACGGCCTGTATGAGTTTCCAGGTTCAGGTTTGGGTTTAGCGGGGCTATACAGATTTTTCGGCCGGGGGTTTTCGGTTGGAGGGCTCACCGGCGAACCAGGAAAAGGGATCGCGGGGTTTTTTCTTCGCAAGTTGAATTGGCTTGGTTGATATGGTCATGCCTCAGCAGCATATCAACCTTTGCAGACTTGCCATGATCTTGCAGACTTTCTCCAAGACAAAATTCCCAAACCGTGTCGAATCTGGACGGAAAGGAGAAGTTGAGCTTTCGTTTGCAATAGCCCAAGCCACGACATCACCGAGCTCCATGCATGTTGAAGAAACGGCGCGCAGGGGTTCCGACACGAACATCTGCCAAGCAAACTGTGCAACATTGTGCATCTGTTGGCACGCAATCACCGGATAGGCCTACCCAGGCAAGAGGCAGCTTGGTGCGAATAGGTTGGGGGGGGGGGTCGATGGAGGTTTGTTGTGGGCAGGTAGGGGAACCGTATGCCCTGATCATACGCATCAGAAGATTAATTGCTGGACAGATCAGGCCATCGGTGTGTCGCAGGCAATGACAGATCTGCAGGCTGGCGCGGCAGCCTGTGCCCTTCGATGGAACATGTCAACTCTCAACATGAGCACAGTCGGCAGGAATCGGTTCGCATCCACGAGAAGAGGGCAAGGCTTCAGATGCTCAGGACCTCGCATATATGGTTTATTTAAAGACTCGACTTAAGCACTTCGGCTACCAGGAACCAGCTAGAGCAACAAGAGCTCTGCAACAAGAAGCAGGCTGAGCAGATCATTTTACCGAAGTGAGAATGGGTTCTTGGTGTTAATGCAGGCAGACTTCAACATGGTTATGTCTGCTCGCATGCAGGCGAGTTCAACCCAGTGTACATGTTATACATGTTGCCTGTTGCGCTGGGCAACAGGCTGCCAAGTCCAAGCTTGACCGGGACACATGCGGTTTGATGGCCGTCTGCTGAGTTCGAGCTGGTTGCAGTCAGAGTGCCTCGCGCCTGCGGCGACCAAGGCGGAACTGTGTGATGACAGGGGCCTTCTACCAACAACACGTCCGGCAGCATGATGTCGAGACAGAAAGGCTAGGTGGCAGCACAAATTCAGTCGTTCTTTGCTACGCCAACCAACCAATGCGTCCTGATTGACTTTGCAAACAAAGGCTGCAACAGTTTGATATTTGCTTGGCATTGCTTGCTTGGCGCAGCGACTAATTCAGGGAAGCCCGCAATCAAGCGTTCTGTTGTTGCAGCAGAAGAAAAGCGACCCCATGGCTGCGCGGGGTGCTGTGGATTGTGAGAGTGAGTGTAGCAGATGCCGTTTGGCATTCCGAAAGCCGGGCTGATGCTGTGTCACTGGTTTCTGGCGCGCATGCATGCGGGTGCGTGTGCGTATGTGTGTGTGTGTGTGAGTGTGTGTGTGTGTGTGTGTGTGTGTGTGTGTGTGTGAGTGTGTGCGGTGCGTGTGTATGTCACTGTGTCTGTGTGTGTGTGTGTTCCTGGTTGGTTGGTTGGTTGGTCGATAGCCGGAAGTTGGTGACTAGGGATACGAATCGTTAGCCACCGATTATCCCACTTATCTGGCACGAAGGCAGCTCAGCTGGCCCTGTGTGCGTAACCACTCGTACAACCGGATTGTGGGAGATTGGTGGGGCCGGGCCTCGCGGTTGACCGTGTTGGAGTGCCTTCCAGCGACCTGGGGACGGTTAGTGTGAACCTCTTTCTTGGCAGCGCCCTTTGGGGAAGGAGCCCATGGCAAGCCTTTTTTGGTGAGCCCTCTGGGATGACTTCCATGGCCCGTCCAGGATCGAGAGTGCCCGAACCGGCCGGACACACGACCCTGAACCAGCGAGGTTGTGCGAGACTTCATGGTGAGTGAGCTTGGTCCGCCCTTCGACGTATCCTGGTCCTGCTGCGGCAGTCACCATGGGCCCGGTGGTTTTCTGGTGCGGTGTGGTCTAGTTGGTGTGGTGTTGTGGGCATATGTGTGGTGGGCGTTTGTGTGGGTGGGGGTTGTGTGGTGGGCGTTGCGTGTGGTGAGATGTGGCGTGGTGTCGCATGCACTGTGGTGCACGTGTGGTGTATGCGTGGTGTGTGGTGTATGCCCGTTGTGGTGTATGTGCGTTGTGTGCGTGGTGTGGTGCAGTGGTGTGGTGCAGTGGTGCATGCGCGGTGTGCGTATGGTGGTGGTGCGGTGTTGGGCGAACGTGCAGTGTATGCGTGGCGTGGTGCAAGTGCGGTGTAATGTGATGCATCTGCGTGCATGGGTGTGGTGTCTGCAGGGTGTGATGCATACAGTATATGCGTGGTGCATTGACTGATATTGAATGCGTGCTTCGCTGCATGCGTGGTGTGGAGCTTTGCGCTCTCGAACGTGCACGCATGACTACCATATGCTTGTCCATACATGAAACCCACCTCGCAGCGATGCAAAACCATTTAGACGCATAAAATCACCAAATACAACAGCAAAAGTATTTATGCGATCCTCTTCCCTCCTCAAGCGTGCATGCGTGACTACCATAAATTTTTGTCCACGCATGAAACCCATCTAGCAACGATGCAAACAAAGCCATGTAGACGCAAAAGCTCACAAATACAACACAGCAAAACAAAGCATGTGCACGATCCCCTTTCTCGAACGTGCACGCATGACTGTCATATACTAGTCCGCACATGAAACCCATCCAGCAACGGTGCAAAACCATTTAGACGCATAAAATCACAAAATACAACCGCAAAGTATTTTTGCGACCTTGTTGCCTTTTCAAGCGTGCATGCATGACGACTGCGATTTCATTGTCCATACATGAAGCCCATTTAGCAACGATGCAAAGCCATTTAGGCGCATAAAATCACAAAATACAACCTCAAAGTATTTGTTTGTTGCGACCTTCTTGCCTTCTCAAGCATGCATGCATGACGACTACTATATAATTGTCTATACATGAAGCCCATCTAGCAACGATGCAAAGCCATGTAGACGCAAAACCCACACACAACACAGCAAAACAAAGTATGTTTACGATCCTCTTTCTCGAACGTGCACGCATGATTACCACATATCTGTTCGTGCATGAAACCCATCTAGCAACGATGCAAAACCGCGTCTTCGGCGCGTTAAATAACGTATTCACGATCCTCTTCCTTTCTCGAACGTGCACGCATGATTACCTTATGTATCTGTTTGTGCACGAAACCAATCTAGCAACAATGCACCACTTAGACGCATAAAATCACAAATAGAACAGCAAAACAAACAGATCCTCTGTCTCGAGCGCGCACGTGCCAAATATCTGTCCACACACACATAGATGCATCGAATCAGCAGCAAAAGTATTCACGGTCCACTTCCCTCCTCAAGCGTGCATGCATGACTAACATATACCTGTCCATATGAAACCCATCTAGCCACGATGCCAAAAGCGTTTTCGATATGCATATCATATTTGTTAATTAGTGTTTATATGCGTGGTGTGATGGAATAAATGCGACCTGCGGTGAACGAGCGGTGTGGTATGTGCGTGGTGCGGTGAAGGCGTGGCGGTGTGGTGTTTTGTTTGCGCTGTGCAGGGTATGCGCGTGCAAGCAAGGGGTGCTTGAATGTTTCGTGGGGTGGACGTGTTTTTGCAATGTACGCGTGATGCACTGTATGCCTGGTGCGGGAAATGTACGTGCGCAAACGTGTGCGGTGTAAGCGGGTGTATGCAAACAAGATGTGGTGCATGGTCTACGCGTCGTGCATGTGTATGTGTGTGGTGCTTGTTGCATGCGCGGTGCGTGTGTGCTGAATGCGTGGTGTCGGTGATTTCATTGTGAACTGTACGCGTGGTGTATTTTATTGTGCAGTGCACGTGCGGCGCGGTGCATGGAACACAGTGGTGGAGGTTGTGGGCCATGTGTCTTGTTAGTGTGTGCGCGTGTGTGGGTCTGTGTTTCTGTGTGTGGTGTGTGTAGTGTGACGTGTTGCGTGATGTGGTGTGGTGACTGCGTTGTGAGCTGCACGCGTGGTATGTTGGGTGCGTGGTGCCCGGTGTGGTGTATCTGGCGCGTGGGCCTGGTGAGGTGCGCGCGAAACAGAGCACGGGCGGTTGTTGTTGGGGCTCACTCATCATTGGGCATTTTTAAGGTTCAGGGTTTTTCTGGACTTGTTAGGGTTGGCCACGGGGTTTTTAGGGTCTTTTTTCGGGTTGGTTTACGGTTTAGGGTGTATATAAGGGTTTATTTATGGTTAAGGTTTTAGCGTTTTAGGGTTTAGGGTTTAGGGTTTAGGGTTTAGGGTTTATTTAGGGTTTAGGGTTTATTTAGGGTTTAGGGTTTATAGGGTATAGGGTTTAGGGTTTAGGGT